CTCATGTCGATTGTGCACTAAATGTAGTGAATGTGCCTACGTCTCAGTGCCCACAAACACTACACACCACATGTCCCACGGGTTCTGTGAAAACGAAACCAACACGCATTCAGTCAGCTCAGGCCGACGGTGTTTTTCAGTGCAGTAAATGTGCCCGCTGTCCTGCGCCCACATTCACTCACAGACATGTTAAGCCCCACGGGGCTCGCGCCGCTCTCTCTCCCTCAGCAAACTGCTATAAGGGTTTTGAGCGCGGCCAGGCTGCCCGCCGCGATCGGCGCGCTCCCCGCCTCACACACTGTAAACACAGTGTCTGCGTTACAGCACGCCGGAGCTCTCTTGCCGTCACTATGTCTCGGCCAGAGCCCAGATCTCATTCTACCCCTAGCTATTCACGCGAAAGTGTGGGCACAGCTTCCTGGGGTATCAGAATGGGTGCTGAACACTATAAAAAGAGGCTATTCGCTACAGATCGCTCGACGTCCCCGCCGTTATACGGCGCGCGTCGAGACGACGGTGGAAAACGAAGTATCTCATCTACTTCGAGCCGAGATAGCGAAACTACTGAGCAAAGGTGCTATAGAACCTTTATCTCAAGCTCAGAGCAAAGGGGGCCTACACAGCAGATATTTTCTGGTACCGAAAAAAGATGGAGGTCTCAGACCCATTTTAGATCTGCGACAGCTGAACAGAGCGCTTGTGAAGCGCCAGTTCAGAATGCTTACGACCAGGAAAATCCTCGTGCAAGTGCGCCACGGGGACTGGTTTATGTCAATAGATCTGAAAGACGCCTATTTCCAAATACAAATAGCGTCCCATCACAGGCGATTCTTGAGATTCGCTTTCGAGGGCCAGGCATATCAATACACAGTCCTGCCGTTCGGCCTGTCCCTAGCACCTCGTACATTCACGAAGTGCATGGACGCGGCGCTCGCACCCCTGAGACTTCAGGGCATGCGAGTCCTGAACTACTTGGACGATTGGCTGATTCTAGCTCGATCACGATCGGAGCTCATAGAACACAGGGCCGCATTACTCGAGCACCTCGAGGAGCTGGGCCTCACAGTCAATTGGGCGAAGAGCTCACTGTCTCCCAGTCAGAAAATTTCCTTTCTGGGAACAGTGTTAGACTCGCTATCCATGACGGCACGCCTGTCACCAGAGCGCGGACTAAATATTCAGCGCGTCGCGAAATCCTTCCGCCACGGCTCGATAGTTCCGCTCAAAAGGTTTCAGAAAATGCTGGGGCTGATGGCCTCAGCGGCCTCTGTACTCCAGTGGGGCTTGCTTCGCATGCGCCCACTGCAGATGTGGCTGAAAGCGCGGGTTCCACCCAGGGCATGGACAGCGGGTCTGTTTCGCCTCAGGGTCAACCTACAGTGTGTTTCAGCTCTGGAACCTTGGAAAATAACCGACTGGTATCGGTCAGGTGTGAGTCTGGGGACCGCTTCGAGTGTGAAGGTGGTGTCTACGGACACCTCCACCTCGGGGTGGGGAGCGCTGCTCGAGGGCAGACCGCTAGCTGGCCTGTGGTCAGAACGGGAAAAGCTCCTTCACATAAACTGCTTGGAGATGATAGCAGTCGACAAAGCGCTACGGCGTTTTTGTCCCCAGGTAACAGGCCACCACGTCTTGGTCCGGTCGGACAACATGTCAGTGGTGGCATACATAAATTGCCAGGGCGGCGTCAGGTCACGAAACCTTCACAGGCTGACGGAACGCCTCCTGGTCTGGGCTCAGCACAGCCTGCTCTCACTGAGAGCAGCGCACGTGCCTGGTCACCTGAATGTGGGACCAGACAGACTGTCCAGGAACAATGTTCCAGCAGGGGAATGGTCGCTGCACCCGCAGACGGTCCAGCTGCTGTGGAAAACGTTCGGCAGAGCACAGGTGGACCTATTTGCGTCCCACGAAAACGCTCATTGCCCGGAGTTTTTCTCGAAAAGCAAGGACGCGCTGGCTCATGTTTGGCCCCGCTGCCCCCTATATGCTTTTCCTCCTGTCTCGCTCCTGCCTCAGGTGTTGGAACGAATCAGGGAGAACGGATGCCCAGTGCTGCTCGTAGCTCCGCTCTGGACAAACCAGACGTGGTTCCCTGCCCTGATGCAGCTGACCAGCACTGCCCCATGGCCTGTACCATTGAGGAGAGACCTCCTCTCTCAGGTGGAGGGCTCGATTTGGCACCCTCGCCCGGAGTTGTGGTCCCTGCACGCATGGGCCATCAACGGGTACCCGCCAGCCTCCCAGAAGGAGTGTTAAACACGATCGCGCAGGCTAGAGCTCCGTCTACCGGGCGGCTCTACTCCTCGAAATGGTCTGTTTTCTCTGCATGGTGTCAAGCCCAGAGCTTTTCACCTGTGGAATGCGGGGTTTCGGAAGTGCTTTCCTTCCTTCAAGAGCTACTGGATAAGGGCAGGACCCCATCCACGCTCAAAGTATATGTGGCGGCCATAGCAACGTTTGCAAAACCGGTGTCTGGCCAGTCGCTGGGGAAAAACGACTTAGTCGTGTGTTTCCTTAGGGGAGCTCGGAGGCTGAACCCTCCCAGGCCCCCTTCAGTCCCGACGTGGGACCTTTCCACGGTCCTGGAGGCCATGAAAGGCGCCCCGTTCGAGCCAATCCAGCTGGTGGACATGAAACACCTGTCGTTCAAAACAGTGTTTCTCATGGCTCTCGCTTCAGTGAAGCGCATAGGGGACTTGCAGGCGCTTTCAGTAAGCGTGTCGTGTATGGAGTTTGGGCCTAATGACTCGAAGGTCATTCTCAAACCTAAGCATGGGTATGTCCCGAAATCCCTCAATACACCGTTTAGGGGCCAGTTAATTTCCCTGTCCGCCCTTCCGGTTCTCAGTGAGGAGGAGGACGCGAGTCTCCTTTGCCCCGTCAGGGCATTGAGAGCTTATGTGTCACGCTCGTCTGTTTTCAGACAGACGGAGCAGCTTTTCGTTTTGTTTGGCGGGCGTTCCAAGGGACTCGCCGCCTCAAAACAGAGCCTATCCAGATGGATAGTGGATGCCATTGCGCTCGCTTACTCTGCAAAGGGCCTACAGTGCCCCTTGGGTGTCAGAGGGCACTCCACGAGAGGCGTGGCCTCTTCGTGGGCTTGGTCGAGCGGGGTTTCCCTGCAAGATATCTGTACGGCCGCGGGCTGGGCCTCGCCGTCTACATTTATAAAATACTATAACCTGGAGGTACCCGCCTTACAAGCTAAGCTTTTGGCGGTCTAAAATTCAGTGCTATCTGCCCCGCGGTGCTGCCCAGATGCTGAGTTTACTGCACCCCCATGAGTGTTGACACACGTATGGCCACCCAGATCAGGCTGAAAGCTTTCACCCTGGCTGCGCGTTTTATTGTCATATGATAGCCCCGCTGGGTGCTTTTTTATAGGGAATGACGCTTCCAGCCTCTCTTCCTCCACTCTATGTGAGTTTATGGTGATTATGCACTACATGAGCCCTGGGCTTCGGCCCTTGGGACTTTGGTGTTGGATCCCTGTACGCACGGCGTGTTGCATTGTGTTCCCCTAGCGTAAAGCTATTACGCAGTACGAGAGATACTCTCGTAAGAGAACGTACTCGGTTACTAACGTAACCTCGGTTCTCTCTAGAGAGGGAACGAGTACTGCGTATCTTGCCGTGCTTGGAATACGCTCTGGTTCGCTTCAGCGATAAAAACCAGCTTGTACCAGCCTAACGAGCATATTTATAGGGTGAGACCACGCCCTTTCTGGCGGGACGTGACGATATGGGCGCGAATTGCCCCCATTGGTCATTACGTCACGCAGAGTCTCTCTCGATAGGCTGCTGCATTTGCCGCAAGAGCAACCAATAGGCGCGCGAGCTGTTTCGCCTATGTCTGCTTGCTGCTGCAAAGCGTTTTACATTAATAAAAAATTAAGGATAATTTTTGGCTTCAATATCTCGTGGAAAAGAGTTTTTCCCCTAGCGTAAAGCTATTACGCAGTACGAGAGATACTCTCGTAAGAGAACCGAGGTTACGTTAGTAACCGAGTACGATATTGTGGCCGTGAATTAAGAATGATTTCTGATTATTATTATTATTAATTCATTCCTCATTTTAGCTTTATGTCGAACGTCGCCTCGCTGAATCTGCAGGAAACTGACGGCAATATGGACTTTAAGGTCATTCACTAACATATTTATCTTTATTATTGAGTGTAACAGAATAGGTTAACATGGTTCAATGTAAAAAATAAACATTATTTTTCATATACTGCACATTATTGCATCTCTGTTCCCAGTCTGTCTGAATAATGAAACGACGTTTAGACTTTTGAAAACGGGTTTCAAAGGGCCTTTTTCTGAAACCGATACCGTTATCGTCTCGGTGTAAATGACAAAAACATGAATCTGTGTAAACGGTGACGTCATGCGCATGCGTATTACGTGTTCAGTCTGCAGTCGTACTGTTTCTTTACAAAGTGACATCGCCAACTACTGGCCTGGCATGCACACAAACGTGTCGTTTGTGTCCAAACACACACACACCGTCAACACTGTTCACTGAAGCCTCGTCTTCTGTGTTTGGCATTATGCTAATATTTCACATTGTGACGTGGACGTCTGATGAAGTAACATCTTGACTTCGATCGAGGTGTGTTAGGCCGGTCATACATCACACACTAAAGGAAAATGAAAACATTTAAAGCATCATATGACCCTTTTAATGTCCAAATATTACTGAGAAGAAGAACAATAAAAAAACGTTTAGATGTCAATGTGTATCTGCGACGGACATCGCTTATGCTCATCTTTGCTCGCTCCTTTGAGTAAAATAGCTCTATATTTAACAAAGACCTGAACCGGAAGTGATGCGACCCGTTTTACAGAATACAGAAGTTTGTTGTTGGTCGTAGTTATCACTGAACTAAAGTAAAACGAGGGAAAGAATTACCCAAAATGAGGGAGCTAATTTATATTATTGATCTGCCTTACTTCAGGTGGACGATGAAGCCATTTTATTCTAGAACAAACTTATTTTTATGTTATCACAGTGAAGCTTTGATACAATCTGTATTGTAAAAAGCGCGATATAAATAAAGATGACTTGACTAATTAGTAGAACTTGGCGACGAATTAATAAGTCATGGGAACAAATTCTTAATTCATTTCCTCATTTTAAGTAAATTGTGGCCATGTTGTACTAATTTACTCCTTTATTTTAGTGAAATTTTGGCTATTATTAGCTCAATTAAAATGAGGGAACAAATAGGTACAAAATGGCCATAAGTCTCCTAAAACAAGGAATGAGTCAACGGCATGTCTGAGTGTCTTTGGAAGAGATGCGACCTGCAGAATACAGAAGAAAACCTGTATCGTAGTTATCACTGAACTAAAGTAAAACGAGGGAAAGAATTAGTACAACATGACCACGATTTACCTAAAATAAGGGAATGAATGAATTGAAAGTGAGCACGAATTATTAAGTCATGGGAATGAATTATAAATTCAATGCCACAGTATCTATTGTTCTCTCTTGCGTGTCATAAGCGAGGCTCAATAGGATATTCCAGAGTTGTTTGGAAATATAAAAATGAATTGTGTGTTTCACATAAAAAGTAGCGAAACAGATTTTTTGAGTGATTTTGTTGTTGTTGTTGTTTTGGTGTGAAGTGAACTATTCCTCTAAATATAAACAGCATGTGTGAGTGTCTTTGGCTTGATGAACCTGGCACAGTGTGTGTGTGTGTGTGTGTGTGTGAGGGATCAGTGCGAGGAGCTGCGGTCGTTGGCCACGTCCTGCAGGCGTCGGAGCAGCGCCGTCTGGTTCTCCTGGCACAGCCGTTTGGCGGGCGACTGATGCTCCTCCTCTAGGCCGATGCTGCGCTTCTTGGTGGGCGTCTCGCCCGTGCGGATCATCACGTTGATCTCGCGGAGCCGCTGTGGGACAGAGGGATCAATGCTTTAAGAATGATGAGACTGAACAGGAAGCGTGTTTCCAGGAATGTGTTGTTCTTACGTTAGATGGACTGGAGCTGACGGAGTAGAAGATCTTGTCCCGTGGAGAAACCGAGCAGCCGGTCTTGTGTGGAGAGATGTAGATGGAGTGATTGTGGGACAGGAGGACCCGGCGAGGAGAGCCAATGCGGAGAGAGGGATACGGACAGAGGGGAGGAGTTTCAGCCTGCACACACACACACACACACACAAATGCAGTATTACAACTATTTTCTTATATATATATATATATATATATATATATATATATATATATATATATATATATATATATATATTAGGGCTGTCGATTGTAGTGTTACAAATGTATTAAAATGTTTAATTTAGGTTCCAGTACAATAGTATATAAACTGAGAAAGTCTAGTAGACTGAATGTAGCATTTGAGGAATAAATGAGCAAGAGATTCTGCCAGTCCTGGTCTCTCTATTGTAAGTTAAATGAATCAGAGTACTGAGACTCTTTGTCTTTAATGGCTCTGGGAGCCCCTGGCTCAGTTTGAAAAGTTATGCTGATTGGATTAGGCACTCTCAGTCTAAGAGCAGGTTCCTAAACCTGTATACTTCATTTACATGCTTTGTTTCAGAGTGTCTCCCCCTCGATGTAACTCCTCCCCCTCTAAAATGCATAAACTACAGTGTATTTTATTTTAGTCAGACTTGGATGGAAAGACTACAGCAACGCAGCTCGTGTTCTCAATAAAGAATCCGGCTTAAAGGAGAACTCCGGCGCAAAATGAACCTTTGGTCTAATTACACATTGTTACCTAGTCAACCGTTATCTGAGATTTGTTTTCATGATTATCGAATGTAAATAGTTTTATCTCTAAAAACAGTTTAGCCTATAAAGCTAGTATAACGCTAGTATATTGGGCATAGTGTAATGACAAAAAAAAAATCGCTTGTTAATACCACTAACAAGGCTGAAAATAGCCCCACACTAACACGGTAGCATAATGAGGGTCCCTACCTTCAAACCGAAGCATTGAGAACTTTGTCAGTGTCCAGACAGTTTAATAAGAAGATATTTTATACATACAGTCAACTTCGCGTATACAGGCAGAAGCCATCTTTGAAATAAAGTCTCTACCAGTCGATCTACGAACGCCGATCCAAGCCTACTGTTCGCGCTCACCTTATCACAACTTATAGCTCGTTCACATCTCACCAGCGCACTTGGATCGGCGTTCGTAGATCGACTGGTAAAGGCTGTATTTCAAAGATGGCTTCTGCCTGTATACGCGAAGTTGACTGTATGTTTAAAATATCTTCTTATTAAACTGTCTGTACACTTACAAAGTTCTCAATGCTTCGGTTTGAAGGTAGGGACCCTCATTATGCTACTGTGTTAGTGTGGGGCTATTTTCAGCCTTGTTAGTGGTATTAACAAGCGATTTTTATTTGTCTATTACACTATGCCCAATATACTAGCGTTATACTAGCTTTATAGGCTAAACTGTTTTTAGAGATTAAACTATTTACATTCGATAATCATGAAAACAAATCTCAGATAACGGTTGACTAGGTAACAATGTGTAATTAGACCAAAGGTTCATTTTGCGCCGGAGTTCTCCTTTAAGATACAACCCGAGTCTCCTAGTCTTCGCTTCTGAGTTTCCTACAGTTTAGAAGAAAATGTGCTAAATTGTGCTGACTTTTGCTGAAGAGCACTACCTGTGAAGCCAGAGCAGAAGAGCTGTGCGTCTCCAGGCAACACACAGTGGTGTTTCGTTTCAGAATGAATACATGTTTTGAGCGAATCAATCGAGCAAACCAATGATTCAATGACCCAGTCGTAAAGAGCGACTTACACATGGAAAGTCCTTTACAGGAAAGTTTAGATTCCTGAATCAATCAGCTGTTCAAATTAATCAAATTATTGAACGCCTCAACGACTCACTCATTTAGACATTACCGCCACCTACTGGCAGATGAAGGTTCTTATTTACAGTATCATTTCATAAAAAATCATATTTTGGGGATTGTTTGCCCAAAAATGTGCTCACCCTCATGTCGTTTCAAACCTTTTTGATTTGTAAATATATCTAAATACCAATTCAAATGCAGCTTCTAAAAAAAGTTTAAAAGTGTATGTGATAAATAAATAAATGTAATGTCTATTTGATTCTTTTCTCATTTAACATTAATGACTTTAAGTCATATATTGTCAGGGTTTCTGCTACCTCTGTTTGGTTTATATCTGGTTTGGTGACAGAGCTCTGACATTCCCGGTTTCTCATGTGTTGGTGTTTAGTCTGGTTTGTTGTGAGCACATGGCTTGTCTTGTATTCCTTGTGCCATGTGCTCTCTTGTCAATTGTCTGGCCCCTCCCATCTTGTTACCTGATTATTGATTGATTTGCCCCACCTGCCTTGTTCATTAACCTCTTATGTTTGTTTCCCTATTTAGTCTCCCTGTGTTCGCAGTCCTGTGCTGGTTCGTTGTCCAAGTTTTCCATGTTCCTCGTGTTTCCTTATCCTGCCTGTTTTTGTTCTCGGTTTCCCCCACGAGGGAGTTTTGTTTGTAGTTTGTGTTTGTTTGTTTATTTACTTAATAAATATTTACCCATTGTTTCTGCACTTGAGTCCTCACACCTTAATCCACCCATTCCGTGATATATATGTATAGGTAGAGCTGTCACGATATCTACTTTTTGTTGTGCGATATATTGCACCAAAATTAATTGCGATAAACGATATTATTGTAATTTTCAGACCATTTTAGGCCACTGATTACATAATGACAATATAATAGCATAATAATGCAAATACACTGTTTCAAAGAACATTTTATTCTTAATCTATTCAATATTTAGACATTGTGAAATGTGAAAAAATATATCCCAAATAAATAAAACAAGTAAATAAATACACTTTCGTTAACAAAAAAGTGCAAGGTATAAAGAACTAGATCAAAACAAAGTAATATGTCAATTTAAACTTTTAAAGTGTCTCACACAAAGGCACAGATGCATCAACAGGACATTTCTGCTGTCAGATTCGTTTTTTAATTGTTAGGCAGATTCCGAGAAAGGAACACCAACATGTTTACCTTGTGGGGCTTAAAGGAGAACTCCGGTCAATTTTAACATTGAGCTCATTTTTTTGGTAAATTTGGAGTGCTGTCAGTACAGAGAACAACGACAAAAATCGGTGTTTCCTACACCGTGTTATCCTCTTTTTAAAATGTGCACACTGTTGACTTAAACGGGGCTAGTTTTAAACCTGTTAACATCCTTGATGTGTCATTTTAAGTGAACAGCCATGTGAGTGATGTTATTCATAGTGAACACGGTGAAAGATATGAATAAAGATGTGAAAGATATGAATAAAAATGATGTTTATTCAGCCAGCTCACATACCCGTATTTACTTCCTGTTTTCGGTCGAAGTCCACAGTAGTCGATTGTCGAGTTCGCGCGCACGATCATTGGTAACTAAGATAACTAATGATCGCGCCCGCGAACTCGACAATTGACTACTGTGGACTTCGACCGAAAAAAGGAAGTAAATACAGGTATGTGAGCTGGCTGAATAAACATCATTTTTATTCATATCTTTCACATCTAACGTTACTGCAGTCAGATTCACCGTGTTCACTCTGAATAAAATCACTCACATGGCTCAATTCCATGTTGGACTCGTTATTCCTAACTGGCTCGCTGTAGATGTCGCAGAACACTTTAAAATGCAGTTGGTTCACGCCTTCTCTTTACCTGACGGTGTCTCTATCTCTGTGTGTGTGTGTGTGTGTGTGTGTGTGTGTGTGTGTGTGTGTGTGTGTGTGTGTGTGTGTGGGGAAACGCTGCCTGAGCCCCGCCTCCGACACAGAGTGCAGACAAGATGACAGAGGCAGCGCGATCAACTAAAATGTTGGTGACATTCATTGTAATGTAAAAATAAATCTAATTATTATTTTTAATAATAAAATAAATTATCAGTTGCAATATATCGCGGCACCAAAAATGATCGCGCTCATTTCCATATATCGTGCGATAAGTCGATATATTGACTATCGCGACAGCTCTATGTATAGGCCTTTTGTCTTCTATTAGATCGACCAGTGTAGAGGAGACAGGGAGCACTGGGAGCAGAGAGGGGGACGGGATCGGGAGAGGACCTCGAGCCGGGACTCAAACTCAGCTTGCCAGAAGTGCAACTGTGCTGGATTTCTGTATTTTCTGAAGAAATTGTCTGTAAAAAGCTTTCCGCTAGGATGCAAATGTGTTGTGGGTGGTTGCCAGGGTGTTGCTAGGCTATTCTGGGGTGCATTTCCCATATGACGACATAACTCGCAGCTTAAGTACCATTGGAGAAATGAACAAGCTAGTTGCGACTGTTTCTATAAACCGTAGTAACGTGGTCACACCTCCGTCGCTAATGATGTCACGCAGGTGGTGGGAAAATAACTTCTGCTCAATTAAAGTCAGATTATCATAGTTAATTTACACAAAACAACAGAAAGCCGTTAATGTACATTGTAGACCAGCTCAATCTTTTGCGGCGTGACTACAGGGGCACTAGAGAATAAACTAGACTGTAGTTAGAACCACACAAGTTTGTGGATGTTGGTTGGAACTATAGAAATGCAGGATCAATGTAACTCGCGACCATAGTCGGCACACAATGCTTTCGGGAAAGTCACCCCTGAGTAATTGCTAGGTTCTGATTGGTTAACAGGTTGTTGCTATGCGGTTGCTATGTGTAGGTGCTGGCAGTGTTGCAGTGCTTGAGCCCATCTCGAGTCCAAGGCAATATTTCCCTGGTCATTGTCATGGACTTGACTTGATCTTGCCTCGGACTTTAGACCGCAGTAATACACAGGACAGGCAATAGTTACCCCATTTTTGGGCGAGTTGCTGGAGTAGCGCAGAGCAAACGGTTTGATCTGTTTGATGTAGACGTGGTTGTAGAAGCGTATGAGGTCTCCCCTGTCCTCGTCCGGCTCCTGGGGGCCCCCGGGGGCCCGGGTCGGGGTGGAGGGGGCGCTGCTGGGCTGGGGGATGGGGAGAGTACTGCTGGAGCGCATGGACACCGGACTGCTCTCACCGCTGGCTGTACAGCACACAAACAGGACAGCACTTTTAACAATCATAATCAAATCAAAATCTGCATTCGATTTTAGCATTTGCAGGTCTGTTTGGATGTGGCCTGTAAACAGTGTTTTTGTACTCCAGTCCGGACAACACCAGAATCAGACTCGGACGTCTGTCTCAAGTCCCAGTCCAAGACCATATTTTCTATGACTTGTCCAGACCAGCTCAGGCTGAGTCTAAAAGGTCCTGAAATTGAGGAAATTTCTGACGCCGCGAGATTGACTTCGGTCCAAGTCCGGTCTTGTTCAGGCTTGAGTACAACAACACTGCATATATGCCTATGAAACAGTCATAACTTAATATTTTCCAACTAAAACCTTTGTAGTATCTGATGAATAACTTCTCATTAATGAGTGAATGTGCACAACATGCTACGTTTTAAAAGTTACCATGTTATTACTATATTTAACACCTTTTTAGTAATTCAAATCTTGAGAAATTCTATGAATTTTTTTTTTTTACATAAACTACAAAAAAAAAACAGTGATGCAAGAGAAAAATGTATGGGATATGAAAATATTCCATACAGACCATATAATCTGAGTATTACCAGAATTAACCTTGAAACCAATGGATTTAATTAAGTTTCTCATGATTGCTAAAAAACAGTCCAAATTTATGAAATCAACAGATACATTTTCTAACAAATAAAAATATCTATATTACTCTGGAATGTTTTCAAAACAATATATTCATCTTCCTTGCATTCATTTTCACTTTCATATGAAAATGATAACAGCGCTTTGAGATGTACATTTAAAGGCGCTATAGAAATTAAAGGTTATTATTATTATTATTATTATCATTTTCATGCTTCAATGGTTTATCAACAGGTGTGCATATTCAAAAATTAAATTCCAAAACTGTGTGTGAGATATGGGAAAGATGGTACATTTATAAGTATTTTTGAGATAAAAAAAAAAAAAATACTATGTCTAAAGCCTCAGTTGAAAACCAGGTCAAAATGGATTGAACACAAAAGGTGTAACTTTTTCTTTTTAAATGGTTATATCTTTTATCATTATTTAGTATCTAAAAAATAAACAAATAATAGTCTTGCTTATTTTGCTGCACTAAAAGCATTTTGTATTTATTCCTCAAAACAGACCAGATGCATCATGAGGGTTTGAGGGATCAAACACAGAATGAAACATCAGGAAACGTGCACTAAGAGTAACCCGCTGATAGCGCTGTGTATTTGCACACTGTGTCCACATCACATGACACGTCCAGCGCCACGCGTGCGTTACCTTGCTCCTGTCCTCCTTCAGTGGGCGAGCTCTGTCTGTGGGGGTTTTCACTGGTTCCTGAATGCCGTCTTTTCCTCCCAGAGATCAACACACTCCTGTACACCTGAGATACCATTGTCATCTTCATTAATACCATTATCATCTTTACCAGTGTTTGTACACACGGCCGGACGTCACACTCACACTGCTGCTGGCCTGAGGTTGAGACCTGTAGCACTTCATGATGTTCTGGAAGGACTTGTCCTCTTTCGTCACCTAACAATGGACAAAACAGTGCTGTAACACACACCTCGCTCCCCAGACCAGACCATTTAATGAAACAAAAATGTAATGTTCTGAAATCGCAAGGATTGTGAGGTTATCAACATTTGACCGTCCATTTTTACATATCAATGCCTTAATGTGAACGACATAAATGTATTAGTCTTTAAGGTACAGTAGCAACAACAGTCGATGTCATTTGAACGCACTCTACATCTGCATACACACGTTTCTAGCTATGCCATTTTGATTTCACACATCATTGCACTCTAAAATGTGTCAACAAAGTCGAAAGTTCACAAATCGTGTTCGCTGAACTGAGCAGAAACTCTGCTTTTCTCTTTCAGCTCAACAGCTACTTTGTGAAAAAATGTACAAGCTTTTAAAAAAGTACTTTTTATGAAAATAATATCCTTATGAATGTAATGTTTTTGGACACTTAATTGCAATTAAAATACATTATAGTTTACGTTTATACTAAATGCAAGTAGTTTCGAGTGTTTTTTGACGTACATCTTTACATGCAATTTCATAATTACTTAATTTTCTTTGAGATATAGTAAAAGTGCACTGCCAAAAAGATTTTACAGTAAACTACAATATACTTTAATGTAATTTCTATTGAAACTTGTATGTCATGTGTTTAAAAATATACAATTGCACAATTGTACTGATGAAGTTTGAACCAAATGCAATGACTGAACAAACGTGTTTTGGTCCTGAGACTTCAGCAGTGTGTCACGTGTTGAGTGTGTTTGGATTCATGTTTGTATTTCTGTCCTGGTGTTTTGCAGTCAGTGTGTTAATTAGTTCAGTCTCGCTCGTCCCCTGCCTGTGTGTGTCCATGGTTACAGGTTGAGCCAGTTCTGTTCAGGTGTGTGTAGTTAATCTGTGTGTTTAAGCCCTTTGTTTAGTCCTGTTCAGCTGTCTTGCCGTTTACTGGTTGTTCTGTTCTTGTTTTTCTGAGTATTTCTGTTAGTTTGAGTTTGTTATCAATAAAGACTGCTGCACTCAGATCCAGCCTCATCTCTGCTGCAACCATTTTGTAATATTTAGACCACTTTTATTGATTGCAATCAGGGTGTGAAGAGAGTTTCAACCAGTATATCAAAGAGTGTTTATGAAAAGCATTGCCTACTGTACCCTCGATGACACACACGTAAATAACCTTTGTAGGATGACTGAAGCAAACACCTTAGTCATGACGTAGACGGCACACATGAGGAGCTGGTCCAGATGCCGGTCCATCATCAGGTCAGTGCAGTGCACCAGTGAATACTCGAAACACGTCCAGATCTTCCTGCGCAGGTCAGCGCTGATGTCCAGTCTAGCACACAGGTCTCTGAGGCGCACACTAGCCAGGTGATACACCTGATGATGGGGGAACGGCATTATTTCGGATTGAATGATTGAATGATGTCTAACTGTATGAATGATTAACCTTGTAAAGCCTAATTTATGAAACAATAGTCAGAAAAATATTTTTGAAATGGAACAGTTTAGGGCCAGATTTACTGAACAGGGCAGATTAGCGAGAGAGCGCAACTCTGAACAAACACCGATGGGTGTGGAAAGTTATGCGCTTGATCTACTGATGACGAAAACATATAATGTAACGCAATACAATGATAAAACACTATTTATGAATAATTAAGGATATGTATAGATAAACCTAAGTTGCTTCAGTCCAGTAAGTGTTCATCTTGAAGTAATATTAACAATATTGGGTTTCACTTTATTTTGATGGTCCCTTTATAACACATTAAGTTGACTATAAGTAACGTTGCACATACATGTCTACTAACTCTCACTAGAGTATTAGTAGACTGGTAGGGTTAGAAGAATAAGTTGACATGTAGTTGCAGAGTTACTTATAGTAGGTTGAATGTCTGGAGGACCGTCACAATAAAGAGTTAGCAGATATTGAATAGTAATAATACTCTATTGACTGATAGTTGACATGTAGTTGCAAAGTTACTTATAGTCAACAGAATGTTTAAAAGGGACCATCAAAATAAAGTGTTACCCAGTATTGTAACATGTATGGTCTGTTTTGGTTTCGTCTCCACTGTTGCCTGTCTGTTCTCTTACGAGAGGTTCTCTCGTATTGCGTAAGCTAGCTTACGCTGCGGGAAAGATTCATCTTTGCTGAGAGTTTGAAGCCAAAAATTATTTCATAATTTGTATCCATTGACAACGCAGTTCCTCTGCGGCAGACCTAGAGCAGGCTAGCTAGCAGCTCATTGGTTCGCTCAGAGAGAACTGCTTAAGCCTATGGGAGAGCGGGGCTGAACCCGCTGCCAATGAGAAGCGCCCGCGCGCTCATTGCATCATGGCCCGCCAGAATGGGCGTGGCTATGGTGTATATAACAGTCTCTCCCAGGCTTATATGTTGATTCATTTCATCTTCAGCAAGCTACACGCTTCTGCTGTCCTGAGAAAAGCCGTCGCCGTCGAGAAGGCATCACTCTAGCGAGCTCCCGGACCCTAAAGAAGCCGGCCGTCTTCGCCACCTTCAGCCGCCCTGCAAGCTAGCGCCATCCGACGACTGTATCCTTCTTTTCTCTACATCTAAAAGAGCCGAGCGTCTTTTTAAAGATGTCTCGTTTTTCCTGCGGCTCTTGCCGCGCTCCTCTCGAGGACGGAGACCGCCATGTCATTTGCGCTCTCTGCCTGGGACTCGAGCACGCAGAACTCGCCCTCGCGGATGGAGGATGCGACTTCTGTGAGAGCCTGCCGTTGTCATCCCTGCGGGCACGACTTCTGGCGGCAAAATCCGCTCCCGCGCCGCCTCTCTCTTCGCCGCGTAAGAAGAAACGCCGCTCCCAGAGGCCACCGGAGCCCCCTGCGGAACCATGCGGGCCGCCGCCGCCGCTTCCCGCTTCCCGCTCTCCCTCCCCGCCCCAGCCGGACATACAGTTGCCGCCGAGTGGCTGCTCTGTCGCTTCCGATGACGCCGCGGAGGAGAAGGATTCCTGTTCACTGCTCGCGTCAGACAGTGAGGAATGGTCATCTCTCGGATCCACGAGAGAGTCGGCGGGGATCCGCGCCGGGATAGAGGAGGAACTAATGCGCCTCCTCTCATAGGCCGTCGACGCCTCGGTCTCGAGTGGTCTCCTCCACCCGAGCAGGCCCCGAACCGGATGGACGGCAGCTTTTTTCATCGGCGCTCGACCCCCGCGTGCAACCGGGCCGCCCCATTCCTGCCTGAACTTCACACAGAGCTGATGAAGTCCTGGAATGCCCCGCTCTCGGCTAGAAACCGCTCCGATATATCCGCCTAGCTGCGCTCGGTGGACGGAGCCGCCGAAAAAGGTTATTCAGCCATGCCGCCCGTTGAGGACTTGGTCGCCGCACACCTCTGCCCGCCCTCTGCTAGATGGCGCTCTTCCCCCACGCTTCCTTCGAAAGCTTGCAGAGCGACCTCGAGCTTTCATGCTCGCGCCTACGCCGCCGCCGGTCAGGCCGCCGCAGCGCTGCATTCTATGTCTGTCCTCCAAGTGTTACAGAGCGATATTCTCCGTGAGTGGGCCGAAAGCGGTAGAAACCCCTCCCCCGCTGTCACGGATCTGAGAAGTGCTACGGACCTCGCCCTTCGCGCCACTAAAGCCGCCGCACAAGCTCTGGGGAGATGCATGGCCAGCCTTTGTGTATCCGAGAGACACTTATGGCTCACGCTCGCCGACATGGGAGATTCTGAGCGCGCCGCGTTTCTTAACGCGCCCCTCTCCCCGACGGGCCTTTTTGGATCTGCTGTCACGGGAATCGTCGATCGCTTTTCCGAGGTCCAGAAAGCCACTCAGGCCATGAATTTGTTTCTGCCCCGCCGCGCTAGCTCCTCCGCAGGCCGCTCTCGCGAGCCTCCTGCCAGAGCTCCACCACAGCGCCCTCCTCCGCAGACTCAAACAGCCCAGCGCAGACAGGGCGGCCGCCCTCGCTCTCGCTCTGAGAGCCGCCGCAGACCGCCGCCCCCACGGGGCCCGCGACCCAAGATCACGCTGAAGCCTGATCATCAGAAGTCTGCCTAGCAAAGTTAAGAAAACGACGGCGCTCTCCCGCTGCGGCCGGACCGCCGTCAAAGCTTCGCCCTCTGCCAGTCCCCGTTGTTTCGCCGACTGCTGTAGTGTTGACCGCCACAAACAAGCCGGTGTCCCAGCCCGCTTGCGAGCGACAAAAAGCCGTTTTCACGGCTACCCAGAGAAATCTCAAAAAGAGAAAATATGCCAGTTGTGTAGAAAATGTGCCCACAATCATGTGTTCACCCATACACACAAGCATAACATATCCCGTGTCTCTCTCAGAGCCCCATCACATGAAACGGGCACAGCCCGCTCTAATATCAGAGAACATAAACATGCCCACGAGATCATGCGCGTGTCCCCTCTCTGCTCGCTCTGTTTCACTCTGAAGTGCATGGATACGGCGCTCGCCCCCCTGCGGAGCCAGGGGCTGCGCATATTGAATTATCTGGACGACTGGCTGATTTTGGCCCAATCACAGACGGAGCTTCTGTCGCACCGCGCAGTTCTCCTCGACCATCTGAAAACGCTGGGCCTCTCTGTCAACTGGACAAAGAGCTCCCTTCAACCCAGTCAATCGATTTCCTTTCTAGGAATAGATTTGAACTCGGTCACGATGACGGCTCGCCTGTCCACACAGCGCGCGCGCAGTGTTCAGCGACTGGCCGCCTCGTTTCAGATGGGCACCCGCACACCTCTGAAAACTTTTCAGAGGATGCTGGGTTACATGGCCTCAGCCTCCGCTGTGCTTCAGCTGGGCCTTCTGCACATGCGCCCGCTTCAGCTTTGGTTAAACAGCCGTGTACCCCACCGCGCGTGGAACACGGGCCGCCAGCTGATCAGAGTTACGCAGACATGTCTCACGGCGCTGCAGCCATGGACAGTAGCAGAATGGTTTTGGCAGGGCGTCACGATGGGGACCTTTTCCCGCCGAAAAGTCATCTTGACAGATGCATCCAACACGGGTTAGGGTGGCTCACCGGCCTTCGGCCATTGGTCGACACAGGAAAGCCCCTTACACATAAACTGTCTGGAAATGCTTGCGGTCGAGAACGCGCTCTCGCGCTTCCTCCCGCTCATTCGGGGACACCACGTCCTGATCCGTTCGGACAACATGGCTGTGGTCTCCTATCTCAACCGTCAGGGCGGTGTCAGATCCAGGAATCTCTTCCTACTGACACACCGCATTTTAGTTTGGTCTCAGAGCCGCCTGCTCTCGCTCAGAGCGACGCATGTGCCGGGCCATCTGAACGATGGTCCAGACATACTGTCCAGGAACCTCATCTCCTCAGGAGAATGGTCCCTGAACACACAAACGGTCCAAATACTGTGGCGGCTATTCGGCAGAGCATAAGTGGACCTCTTCGCGTCAGAAGAGAACGCTCACTGCCCAATATTTTTTTCAAGGAGCGAGGACGCGCTAGCCCAGGAATGGCCTCGCCGCCCGCTCTATGCATTCCCTCCGATCGCTCTGCTACCACAGGTAATTCAGAGGATCAGGGACACACGCCACTCGGTGCTCCTCATAGCCCCGCGTTGGGAGAGTCAGAATTGGGTTCCGGAGCTCACTCAGCTGTCACAGACAGCCCCGTGGCCCATCCCAGTCAGAGCAGATCTCCTCTCTCAAGCTCGCGGCACGATCTGGCACCCCCATCCACGGCGCTGGGCGCTACATGCATGGGTGATCAATGACTATTCGTCGATTTGCCAGAGGGAGTAAGAAACACTATCATACAGGCTAGAGCACCTTCCACGAGAAGGCTCTATGCGTCTAAGTGGTCTGTGTTCTCAAAATGGTGCACAGACAAACATCTGGACCCACGGTCATGCGAGGTGCTGTCTTTGCTTGTTTTCCTTCAAGAGATGCTGGACAAGGGCAGGTCCCCCTCCACTCTCAAGGTTTACGTGGCAGCCGTCGCGGCGTTCTCTGAACCCCGACGCGCTCAGTCCCTGCGCAAAGACGAGTTAGTCATCCGCTTCCTCAGGGGAGCTAAGAGGATGAACCCTCCGCGCCCCCCTTCGGTTCCTATCTGGGATCTTTCTATAGTTCTCGAAGCTATGAAGCACCCCCGTTCGAACCGCTCGAGTCTGTGGACCTAAAATACCTCTCGCTCAAAACCGTTTTTCTGACGGCTCTGTCCTCAGTAAAACGCGTGGGGGATCTTCACGCGCTCTCATCCAGCGCCGCGTGTCTTGAGTTTGGACCGAATGATTCTGTTGTCATTCTCAAACCTAGGCATGGCTATGTCCCGAAGGCGATTGGTACCCCGTTCAGGGCTCAGATTATTTCCCTATCGGCTCTGCCTTCATCCGATAGTGAGCGCGACGCCAATCTCCTCTGCCCGGTGCGGGCTCTGAGATTGTACACTACGCGCGCTGCCGCGTTCAGACGCGCTGAGCAGCTTTTCGTGTCGTTTGGGGGTCTGGCCGCCTCTAAACAGACACTGTCTAGATGGATAGTAGACGCTATCGCCTCTGCTTACGCATCTAAATGCCTGCCCTGCCCTCTGGGCATCAGGGCGCACTCCACTAGAGGCATGGCCTCATCGTGGGCATGGTCCTGTGGAATTTCCATTCATGACATTTGTGTGGCCGCGGGATGGGCCTCCCTGTCCACTTTTGTCAGATTTTACAACTTGGAAGTTCCCGCCTTGCAGGCAAAATTACTAGCTGTCTAACGACCAGCTCCCTAAGAAGCTGCATTACTGGGAGTCCCTCACACAACCGGTTCGCCCCTTGTGCTCTTCTTAGATGCTTATGTATATACTTCATGTGCCCGCTCTGCCGGCCTCATATTACATTCACTCCACGTTAAAAATCCCCCGGTGTCACCCTGGGATTCATGAGTGGATTCATAGCGCACGGCGTTGACCAGGTGTTCCCGCAGCGTAAGCTAGCTTACGCAATACGAGAGAACCTCTCGTAAGAGAACGAATCGGTTACCTAACGTAACCTCGGTTCTCTCTAGAAGAGGGAATGAGTATTGCGTTCCCGACCGTGCTTGCACTACTAGCGTTTCGCTTCACGCTGAAATAAATCAACATATAAGCCTGGGAGAGACTGTTATATACACCATAGCCACGCCCATTCTGGCGGGCCATGATGCAATGAGCGCGCGGGCGCTTCTCATTGGCAGCGGGTTCAGCCCCGCTCTCCCATAGGCTTAAGCAGTTCTCTCTGAGCGAACCAATGAGCTGCTAGCTAGCCTGCTCTAGGTCTGCCGCAGAGGAACTGCGTTGTCAATGGATACAAATTATGAAATAATTTTTGGCTTCAAACTCTCAGCAAAGATGAATCTTTCCCGCAGCGTAAGCTAGCTTACGCAATACTCGTTCCCTCTTCTAGAGAGAACCGAGGTTACGTTAGGTAACTGATTCGTTTTCTCTAGTTAGTTTCCTTGGTTGTTAATTAGTTCTTCACACCAGTTCAGTTCTTATCCGTTTCAGTTTCCTCAGTTCATATGGTCTTAGGGTACGTTTACACAACAACGATATGCTTAAACAGAGACGTTTTTCGTTTGAGTTTTCCTCGTACAGACGACACCATTGTCAAAATGATCCCCTTTCACACGGATCCGTGAAAACCACTAAAAACGCAGTGATCTGCTGCCAGGTCATTAGATGGCGATGACACGCTGTAGACTGAACATGTTACACAGAGACCGTTTTCAGAAACTTGCACTTTGAAACAGGTTTTGAAAAGTTTGCGTTTTCAGGCACCCGAAATGTCCTTGTCGTGTAAATGAAGGGCCAAAACGTTTTTAGTTTAAAACGGTGTCGTGTAAACAGCCCCTTAGTTTTATGCTGTTAGTTTGTTATTTCCCTGCGATCTCCTGAGTATTCCTTGTGGATTTAATAAAAAAAAACTATATATATATTTGTATTTTTATCTCCGTAGTGCGTTACTGCAGCCGCAGCATGACAAATATAAGTTATTCTTACATTTACTTTAATGTACAGATTTCACAGCAAAAAGACATGAAAGACAAGCTGAAGGTGGACGTTTGTACAATTATACTAATACAGGGTTCCCACACCTTGGTAACTTCAAATTCAAGGACTTTCCAGGTCCAATACCCTCAAATTTAAGGACTTAATGTGCGGACACATTTGTTGTGTCCAACAATAAACGTTCAGGTACCATCATAGTAGTTTCGTCCATGCGTGAACGTCAAGGCAACGTACAACACAAAGTACCCCACGCAGGAAACACTTAACGTAACACGTAAATAAGCGTAACTAGCGTAAATCAAGCAAGCTAGTTTGGCATAGGCCACGAAGTGTTGGCGAAATAACACATTAGCGGACCGGAATAACATAATATGGATTTTTTTTTTCCAGAAAACTTCTTTCACAAAATAAATTCAAGCAATTTTAAGGACCTGTATCTATGTATGTTTATTTTCAAAAACTTTCCAGGGCCTTGAATATTTTTTTCCTGATTCACAAACTTTCAAGGACCCGTGGGAAACCTGTAATAGAACAAAGGACAATTATACTTGCTAAAAAAAGTATGATTTGTCAGTCAGAAGGCATGTAGTAGACAACAAACTTTTGATCATGTTGATAATTTAGAGGCCTTCTAAATAAAAATAAATACAAAAATGCAGTGTACACTTTTACTGGAACAGTGTATCTGAGGCCCTGTCCACACGGAGACGGTTTAGCTGTATACGTACACATGTTGTATCGTATTGGCGTTTCGTCCAGACGGATCTGGAGTTTCGGGACACTGAAACCGCTATTTTTTTAAACCGGGTCCCAGAGTGCATCTGAAATCGACACCCTTGCGTTTTCGTGTGTGCGGCCAATCCGTACATTTTGTGAAAATATGATGTCAGCACACCACGTGTCAGCATTAGTCACACACCGATACGTCGCACGTAACAGCAACAACAATGGCGGACTATATGCTTGTGTTCGTGCAGCAGAGCTACTGAGCCTATTAGCTTTACTAAAGCAAACTCTTCTGCTCCTATGCTACACGGTGAGCAATCTTCGTCGTTGTGTTTGTATAGCGCGCGCAAGGTCTTCTTCTCCTTGTTTAGTGTATCTCTGTGGCAGAATTACAGCGCCACACACTGGTCTGGCATGTATACCACATCGTTTTCAGTCGGTTTCAGTGGTTTCGTGTGTACGCATATATTTCTTGAGACGACGCCGTGTTTACGAAAAATAATTTAGAACGAGGAAAAAAAAAAAGATTGGGTAGGGAAAGCTCTGGATTCGTGTGGATGTGGCCTTAGTGTACCTTGCGGAAGAACAGGCAGAGGGAGCCGGTCTTCTGTGCTCGTTGGGTGGGTGTTCCCTGCTGAGGGCTCTTCTTGTCCGTTTTGGCAGGGCTGGGGTTGTTCTGGACCGGTCCTGTGTGTGTTGCCGTCAGGGTGCCCGTCAGAGCCTGGGCACTGAGGGTTGGCAGCGCCCCCCCACCCTGACCCGTCACGCTCACCTGCACCGGGATAAATGTGATGCCACCGCTCTCATTTGCTATTCCTGTAAACAAAGATGTAAATAATGAAAAGTTTGTACAATCAAAATTGTAATTGAAATGACATGTTTCCTCTGAACCCCTCCACCTCCCCCAGCTCCGCCTGCCTAGATCTGTGACGCGACCTGTGCATGTCTACTCACGCAGCAGCAGAAACTGTATCTCGCATGCTCACAGCAGTGTGTGTGTGTGTGTGTTGGCAGTAGCACTATAGCAGATCTAGTCTAGGCCAATGACATTAACAGTCCCATATTCATCAACATGCTAAAACTATTTCGAAAGCTGTCCTTTACAATGCAGTCTGCGAGCCATCACATGATTACTGCACGGCACAAGCTGATTGGCTTCTGCTTATCCTGGAGCCATTGAGATTGCTTGCTTAACATTTAACTTTGGTTCAGTGTTTGCTGTAGGCTAGTCCCGCAGCACGCTATGAGGCCCTGTCCCAAATTGCACACTTCATTTGCACTTACGGTCTAGTGGACTTACAATGGCTGCCGTGTGCGCATGTCCCTTAAGACTGTAGGGTGTCCCATTTGTCATTTTAGGTTTCAGAGGGGTGCTCGTGAGTGTTATGGGCTCTTGATGTGCACTTTTGCTGAGCCCACACTAAAGTAAACTCCACAGCAGACTTCTTCCCGACAGCGCAGACTCGTAGGAGGACCGCAAGTCTTTAGGGTGCCATTTGGGACAGGGCCTTCCTCTGAACCCCTCCACCTCCCCCAGCTCCACCTGCCTAGATCTGCTACAGGACATATGTATGTCTACTCATGCAGCAACAGCAGCGTGTCTGTGTATCTATTGACAGTAGCAAGTCCAGCAGCAACAATGCACATTGTATTAATCAATTTGTCTGTGTTTGTGGTTTGAGACCAGTGTTGGTGAGTTGTTTACAAGGGTCCTTTCTCTCACTCAAGGCTCGCTCAGACCCTACTGACTACAGATTGATTAAGATAGTTAAGATTAATTTGACACCTTGAACAGGTATGGTGACAGTCTGGCCGTTGTTTGCGGTGACAGTCGCTGTTGCCATGGTGACCACCGTCTGGCCAGCGGAGATGGTGCTGACCAGAGACGGCTGGGCCACTTTCACAGTTTGAGCAGGCTCAGAGGTTGTGTCTCCATCCACAAAGAGGCGCCGGCAGGCTGTGCCAGTAGGGGGCGAGCTATAGCGGTCATGGAGAGACGCAGGGGACGGAGAAACTCCTGGAGGAGGAAAAGAAACGCCATATTAAAATATGACAGTTTTGGTTTGTTTCAAAGAATGCTTATAGAAATCGTCATGTGTTCAGTCATGGTGCTTGTTTCATTCAAAGTAAGTCACCTTTTCCTGCAATCTTACTGCTGAACTCAGTCTTGTTGGGAGTGTGTGTGGTGCTTCCTGAACCGTCCTCCAGGTGTTGAGGCGGCATTACCTGTCACATACATATGATTATTCATATCAGCCATCATAATACCATCTGCATTGTAACCCTAACATCAACTTTTTTTGTCCATTTCTGAAAAAAAAAAGGTCTGAAGATATCATTAGCACACTTTATTCTAATATTTAGAAATATGTGCACTTAATTGTACTAAATGTGCACTTGTAGTGTAGTGAATATTAAAAGTATATTTTAAAAGAATTCTGTATGATGAAGATAATATAATATTAATTAAATTAAAGGCCACTTAAGTGTACTTTAAAGTGAGTCCACTTCCATGACTGTTTCTTAACACACTTAAGTACGCTTTGTAATAATATTAAATCATTTTTTTTAAATCATTAAGTTTTAGTACACTTTTGTCGTGCTTTAAAGTACACTTATCTTTATGTGTTGACTAACATACGTACACATGTAAAGTACTTGATTATTATTTTAACTATAATGCGTTATTCAAAATGACATTTAAAATGAGTATATTTTTAACTTTACTGTAAAGCAAATGTACTGCACTAAACATTAATAATTGTACACAAAATATATATTTTACTAAATAATTTGGACTCTACAATTGCTGGAATATTCCAAATTTGATTTCACACAAATAGAGGTTCCAATGAGATATTTGATGTGCTATACCACAAATAGCCAGAAAGTGACACACATTGTTTTTTGGTTTTTTTTTTAATGCTTTCCCCTGCCACAAATTAACATATTTCTATCACAGTTTCACTTCTATCACAACACAGTGGCCAAATGTGGAATCATGGGTCTCAGACCTGTCCAATTATATGCGTTTTGTCAATTATTAAAAGAAAACAAAATCGTGTTGTAAATTTCTAAACATTAAACCATCAACTAGGGGGAGGAGACTGCTAAAAGGTTTTAAAGTACCATTTCCATGGTAACACAGTGTCAAATTTCAAAAATATTTTTCCAAAGGATGAATTTTGATTCTTTAAGCTTTCGAATAATACCTAATTGAAGATAATTACTGAAATATGTGATGGAAAAAAAGGCAATAAATGTAGAGCGATGACCAGCTAGATGTCATGCTACCTGCTTCGCACTTAAATATATTTTTTAAAGTAAATGATTTATGTACTCTTTTGAAAGTATGCTAAAGTGTACTTTCTTCAGTGAAAGTACTGATCATGTTTCTATAATCAAAAGCATAAGTTATATTGTTCTGACCTCCTGGCAGGCGGGAACACAGTTCTTGGCCTCTCGGATGCTCTCCCACAGCGGGGAGTTTCCTTTCCACGCCAGGGACTCCAGCACCTGCTCCTCAACATGGTTCAGGTGTTTGACGACCTCCCGGAAAAGACCCTCCTCCGCCCGCACCAACACCTCAATCACCTGTGCGTGAGACAGAAAGCCTTTAGACTCTTATGAATGAATGCATTCCATTTTATTCTTTATATTAATTTACCTTGTAAAAGTAATAAGCGGGGAGGTCAAATATCTGAAGGACTCTGGGAAACTCTCCCGGTGGTCTGTACGAGAAGATGACGATCTCCAGACAGCAGGCGATCAGTGACCGGTGGAATACGTCCTGCTCTAGAATGCCCTGAGACGTATGATATAACATTCAGAATATGTAATTAATGCGGCTAATATTCAATAGTTTTGCAGTAAGGTGTTCATTACATTCATGGCTTATTTAGGGCACATTGTGTGATTTATGTTTGAACTGAATATGAAACCTACAGACAGGTCCACGTCTCCAAGCCTTTTCTTCTCCTGGCTGATGATCACTTCCAGGGATTTGTAATAAAGTGCCTCAGCCAAGCAAAAATACTTCACTGCAACATCTGTAAAACAAGATGTTTTGATATCAGTGTTTGAATTGTGGGGAAAGTCATTCGCTACAAATTAAAGCAATTTTTAGGAATATATGACGTAAGAAAGCATGAGATGCACACCTCTGGCCAGATTCTTGCTCTCCTCTCCTGTTCCCTGATAACTCTGAAGAAAGATCTCTGACATATCCTTCAGCCTTGCTGCTATGGACTCACTGGGGTCTCTTACACAAGATCTGAGGTTTTTTTAAACAGAAAATACCAGTTATTCCAGTGCACAGTGTAGTGCTACAAATGTATTAAATGTTTAATTAGGTTCCCATACAATAGTATTTAAACTGTACACAGTGTTTTCCATTTTGAGGCATAGATGATGAGATTTAAAGAAGATTAAGTCAAGCTAACCTTTTGTCACTTCTCAAAGTACAGCTGGGCCTTTGTCTCTATGATAATGTTAAGGTTTGAGTGATCTAATCAGGCTGATTGGATCACCATCTATACATGACACTGTTATGCTGATGAGATCCGGGCTGGGGAATTTCCGGTAACGAGCTGAATCCTGTACTTCATTTACATGCTTTGTTTCAGAGTGCCTCCACCTCTATGTAATCCCTCTCCCTTGAAATGTACATACACTACAATGTAAGATTCCCTTAGTTAGACTTGACGAATGATTGCAGCTAACAACAGCTCGTGTTCTCAATAAAGAATCCTGCTGAAGATACCACCAAGTCTCCTAGTCTTCGCTTCTGAGTTTCCTACACTTTAGATGAAAAAGTTCACAACAACAGCAAACATCACTGGAATCACAGTTCACTGGATTCACTTGTGTCACATTTTACTGGAATCCCTGTCATCTGAATTCACTGGGATCCCTGAATCACAGTGGCACATTTGACTGGAATCAGTGGTTTCACATATGTACTAAGATCACAATTCAATGGAATAACTGGTATCACTTTTTACTGGGTTGACAATCAAGTGAAATCACAAGAATCTGTTTCCCTGAATATCTAGAATCACATTTGACTAGCATCATAGTTTCCTGGAATAACTGAAATCATAGTTGACTAACACTGGTTATTTTAGTGAAGTCAACATTCACTGGAAACAATGGATTGGCAAGTCATGAGGTTTATTGGAATCAAAGTTCATTAGAATCAATTCAAGAACATTGCATTTGGTTCGGCTGGCTGTATGTTGCGGATTGTGACTATCACAGAAGAACCCAGTTGGGGATCACCTGAATACGTCTCTGAGTCTCGTGCTGGGTCTGTATTTGAATCCTGTCAGCAGCGTGTGCAGACGGCCCACACTTTGCATCGCCATGGAAACGGGGGTACCCACGCTGCTCTCCGGCACGTACCTCCTTCCTGTCAAAGGAGTACACACTTTCAGAGCAGACGCCTGTGAAACAAACACACATTTATTGGTCAATATAAAATCAGTGTTCATCTTTCAGAATGAATATTATGTGTATTTAAAGGATTAGTTCAACTCAAAATGAACATTTCCTGATAATTTACTCACCCCAATGCCATCCAAGATGTTCATGTCTTTCTTTCTTCAGTGGTACAGAAATTTAGTTTTTTGAGGAAAACATTTCAGGATTGTTCTCCACACATTGGGTCTCATTCATGAAACATTCGTAAATATACGAGTAAATATGCGAGTGATTTGCGCGTAAAGAGACCTTCCCGAAAACTCTTCTCCTGATTCACAAATACTTCGTAAACGTCAGATGTGATAGTGAAATGTGTGTGTGTGTTAATGAATTCCAATCAGTCGTAAATGGGATGCGCGTGCACGTTCATTCTCAATTACCATAAATCCCGCCCATTAAATCCGACTGACAACTATATATGGGCATCATATTATGACATGAATGCGAATGAAAAAAAAATTCTCAGATGCAGAAATTGAAGTTTTATTATCAGAAGTTCATTCAAAACGCCACATTTTATTTTCAAGCGTACATAGTGGCGTATCGGGTCCTAAAAAAAAGGAAGCTTGGCAGCGTATTACAGATGCAGTTAATGGAGTTTCATCTGTTAATCAAACATTCCCAGAAGTGAGAAGAAAATGGTTCGACATTAAGCTTGAGAGCAAAAAACGAATTAGTTCACTTCGGAAAAATAGTATTCAAACTGGAGAAGGACCACCATCGCAGATGCTATTACTGGCTCTC